TAGATTCAGCAGTTGGCAGTAATTCCAGTTAATGTGTGTAAAGTTGTTTGTAAAACGCAAAGAAAAAGCAAAGCTTGCTATTCTTAATTTTAAGGTCACCATTTTTTAGGATTGTAACACTGTGTACATAGCTAGATCTGATCATGTGACTGTAGCGGACTTTAATCCCTGATGATGCTGAGCGATTAGCAAACAAATCAGGCTTTTTTTATGTCATGTTTATTTTTATTTTTTAAGTTTAAGTTTGGTTTTAACTGCACCATACACACGCTAGGCAAAGTGGCTAAAATAGCTAACTGCAAACTTATAAAAATAAATGTTAACAAAAAAATTAATAATAATAAATAAAGTGGCTAAACTAGCTAAGACGTGAAAGATAAATTAAACAGCTTGACATTTGCCAAAAATATTTAGATTAAAAAAAACAAAAACACAATGAAATTCTGAAATTCACCAGAAACAACAGTTGACTAGTCAGTGAGAAGACAAAGCAAGGCAGAACTGCATTGTTGAATTTATTGTCTTCATCAAATTGGTCCAAACGGCTCCTTTACAGCCTCTAGAGAACAAGTCATAACACAATGAAATATGAAATTGTGGACACAGAGGTTTAAATCAGAAAGGGCCAGCCGCTCGTCTCCTACGGCACAGAGGTTTAAATCAGAAAGGGCCAGCTGATACAAGTTGATACGGTCTGGACGTGAAAAAGCTTCACCAAACGACCCACGGTCTGGTTTCACCTCCGCAGTACGAACGCAAAAGTCTGGATCTTCATTTCAGTCTGCAAAACTCTCAAAAGGAAACCATCACATCTTTTCTTGAACACAGTTTACATACTGATACAAAGCCACTGTTAAAACATTGACTACAAATAGCTTGGGTCTAAGCAGCGTGTGCTTAGTCTGAACCTGTAAAGTCACAGGGAGCTCTACTGCCCCCACTATACTGCAAACATTTTTTATTTTTTATAAATAACTAAGATCTGACTGTGTTGGTCATGGCGGGTATAATAACTGGTATGCAGCCACATTGAGTTGGTCTTAGAAAAGAGGTAGCAAACTCACATTCCAAAATCACAACGTGGCTTAAATCCTGCCCTGGCCTGTGTCTCTGTGCTTCTCTGACCCAGTCAAGTCATGAACAACACCTGCTGGCAGGTACCTGTACTACAGTAGCACAGACTCTTGAATTGTCTGTTCATCCTTTTCTTTTCTCTTTCTTTTTTTTTTTCTTTTTAAACCGTCCCTTCAAAATCACAACATCACAACCCCTGAAAATCTTTTGGTTTTACTTCTGGTGTAACCTGACCAAAATGCACAAATAAACAAACACCCTGACTTGTGTAGCATGAGAAATACAGTACATTTATAAAAATACAAAAAAAGCACTTCTTTGTTTTTTTTCTTTTTCTTTCTTTTTTTTTAAATCATCATGTTATATTCTTAAGAGACAAGGAATGAGTAAAAATAAAAGAGATTGCATGTATTCTTTCAAAAATGTTTTTAAGTGAATAGTCTATTTACAGCCTGGTGTGGACAACAACGGGACGATAGGAGCACGAACACAGAGGTTGGCAGGGACGAGCGAAGAAAAGGTAGAGCAGGGCAGTAAATTGTTCTTCATTAAGAGTACATTTATAAAAATACAAAAAAAGCACTTCTTTGTTTTTTTTCTTTTTCTTTGTTTTTTTTTTTTAAATCATCATGTTATATTCTTAAGAGACAAGGAATGAGTAAAAATAAAAGAGATTGCATGTATTCTTTCAAAAATGTTTTTAAGTGAATAGTCTATTTACAGCCTGGTGTGGACAACAACGGGACGATAGGAGCACGAACACAGAGGTTGGCAGGGACGAGCGAAGAAAAGGTAGAGCAGGGCAGTAAATTGTTCTTCATTAAGAGGTGGTCTATTTCAGCCTACTGTCTGTGGGGGAGGGGGGGGGACTTTTCTTAAGAGTTCTCAGTCATTCAGGAGACGATGGAGGACGGGTTAATCCAGAGCGATGATGTCATCGTCGTCTTCGTCAGCCGTGGTCTCTGTTGCACTTGATATCCCTGTCCGAGGGCGTTTGCTGGACGTCTCTCCGGTTTCCGTGTCGGAGTGCTTCCTCTTGACGCCGCTGCTGGCTCCTGCAGAGCCGGACGACGCGCCTTCTTCCTCGTCTGAGTCGACGATCATGATGTCATCGTCGTCGTTTGCAGAAGCTGCGTGAGGGAGGACACCGTGGTTTACGCACGAGACAAATGAGTCCACGCTGTTTAATCAGTTTGTCAGATGCTTACCTTTAGAGGAGGTGGACGGCTGGGCGGAGTCTTTGTTGCCATTGGTAATGCTGTTAACCTCTTCCTGCTTTGCCTGTGGGGGCGGAGCTTTGTCAGGGGCTTCACCCACTACTTCAAATTCCACGTCCCGTTCCAATTCCTCACTGCCAACAAACACAAAAAGACTGTCAGAGGTTCACCCTGAGAGGACGGTGTATTTCACGAAGAACACTGCACATGAACATGAGACGTACGTGTGCAGGACGTTGATGAGGAGCGTGTAGTCCTGCAGGAAGTCGTCAGACTGCAGGCGGCTGCCGTTTCTAATCCCAAAGTCAGCAAGAAATTTGTTGTTGTTGGCTGGAAGGAAAAAAAAAAAGATTGAAACAAAAATGCATTTGTTTTAGATTCTTTGTAGGAGTTTTGATTTGTTCGTTTTATCGGATGTTTAAAATGAAAACAACATTTATAATATTTTATTTTAATTAGGGGTTGGGGTCAATATAACAGCATCACTGTTTGTGCCTCGACCATTTATATTAAATGGACCTCAGTGAAAAATCGCATGTCATTTTTTGGGAACACCCTCCCAGCCCTCAGACAAATGACCGACCAACAGGGTTTGTATTTGAGCAACTCTGTCTTTGACCAAAATGTGATAATAAAGCGCCCTCACATGGCCAAACGGGGACTTACAGCTCTTCGGTTTGAACTTTACTGTAACCATTTCCACAACTTTCAACAGCATAATAAAACAATTTTGAACTCATAGTAGTACTAGTAACAATAACCAGCTGATTTATGTCATCTGGGTGGGATCTTCTCTCACCTTCGGTCTCGCCTTCCTCAGAGGAGATAAGAATTGTCCCTTTTCCATCTTCTATCTGAACGTCTGGAGCCACCATCCCAAACCGTTCTTTTAAAATCTGAGCACAAAAAGAAGAGCGATTAAAACCCTCGGCTCGTCACATTCAAACCTTCAACCCCCGCCCCCCACAGTTGCTGTATATGGTGGGCTCATGTACCCGGTCCTGCAGAGAGAGGACTGTGGTTTTGTGGACATCGAGTTTCACTGTGACTTCTGGTTTGCTGGCGCAGACGTAGCAGTTAGGCCGAGGTGGGTCCAGAATACATGGGACCAGCAGCTTCTTCCTCAGGCTGGGACACTTGTTCAGGAAGATCTGAGGGAAGAGATTTGTTACGTTTAATGTGGCATCCTTAATATCCGGCTTTGGATCAAGAATTTCAAATGCAGTCTGTGGCTGATCTTACCGTGCGACAAGATTCCAGTTCTCCTGACAGGATCTTCAGTCCCTCCAGGACAATCAGACCAGCAATGATGGCGTTGGTTGTGGGACTAGCCGGAATGATGTTTCCTGCCATGGCTGGAGAGAAATGAAATGTTAGGAATTTTAAAATATAACACCTAATTGCTTAACAGTTGGGGTGTGTATTGACAAGATTCTAGCGAATCAACATATTGCAATACACTGTTTTGTTGTAGAGAACACAAAAAAACAAACTTACATTTCACATCAAACCTGCTCTTCATGTTCATGCTAAAGATGTGCATACGAAGGTTCGCCGCTGCTGTGACAAAGTCCATTGCTGGAGTGTCGTCCTGGTGACAAAAGGACAGTTGGGAGTGAATCTGTGTGTCAGTCAATTAGTCATTTTGATGTTAACATTTTCTGTTCACTGATTCATTCTGGCAGCTCTAATACAAAAGTTATTCAAATGCAATGTCACCTGGGCCGATATTTTTGGTTGCTGTTTTGGCTGTATTTGAAAAAGTACCCTGAAAAAGTCTGTGGCAACGTCAACTTGTATCAGTCAGTTAAAGCAAAGGTAAAACTTCAGTTAAATTTCAATGGTTATTTTAAGCTTCTGTGCAACAGAGACAAGGGGTCATGACCCCATGTGGAGTCGCCAGGAATTTAAATACATTGCTGCAGAATAGTCACATGCCAAAAATGGGTTGGGAACCACTGCCGTAGCAAACAAACTGTTGCAAACAATTACAAACACACCGGTGATGCAATGTTGGTCAACAACATTACACAGGTCCACAAATGACTTTGTACCTTGTCCCAAACAAGCTCGGCACCTTCGCCCTTCTCCTGCAGCTGTGAGCGGAGAGTTTCCACACTGTGCCTGAAGAGCTGGCAGTAACCCCACACACCCAGAACCTGCTGGTCCTTCAGACCCGAACCTGCAGTCTGCTCCTCAGGACACACTGAGCCAAAAAAGGGAATTTAGGTGTAAATACTGACAGTTACACAGAGTACAGATACAACGACCAGCTTCATGTAAATGTGGCTATTTTAACTATTTACTACTGTTGGAGAGTCTTCACACACACATACCACTGTCTTCCAGCTGCTGCCAGTCCAGAGGTGTCGGGGCTTTCCTCTTCTTCCACAGCTTGTCCATGGTCAGCAGGTACATGATGTCATCTTTGAAAAGCTGGACAAGAAACACAATCAAAAATTAAAATCAAGATTTAGATGATGACGCATTACTCACACGACTCACCATGGCTTCACATCGATTAAAGATCATTATAACTCATTAAAATGTTCTTCCTTTTTACCTTGTTGAACAGTTTGACGGCGTCATATCCTGTAGACCGAGCCCATTCCTTGGTCGAGACACGCTTGATGTCCCCGTCTTTTTCTGAGGCAGTGGCACGAGCCGCTGTTTCCTCGGGGTTCCCTGTGTACAGTACAGTAAACGCTCGGGGTTCCCTGTGTACAGTACAGTACAGTAGACACAGGTGAGTAGGCTCAGACATTTTTTGGGGGAAAAAAATAATTGTCCAATAAATTCAAATTTAATAACCAGGACAGAGACCAAAGGAAAATGTGACTCACATGCAGCTTCTGGGTCTGCCGTGTCAGGTGAAACTTCCTGATCTGCATCCTCTTCTCCAAAAAGCTGACTGTGGCGGAAAAGAAGACGGACAATAGAACATGATCATAAGAACCAGGTGCTGGCACCTGTCAATTCTAAAGCTGGTTTCTTACAGCTGAACCACATTTGTTATTAATAGCTACACATTTTTTTCAACACACAAACTCACTTGAAGAGATACTTGGCCCAGACAATGCAGTGTATGGGCTCAGATGGAGTATTTCTGATGGTACAACCTGGAAAGGTCTTCTGAGTAGGTTTAGGCTGGCACTCGTAACACTCAGTCATTCCCTGTAAGAATAAACGACATGGAAGACAAAAAGATAAGAGTTCAGGAGGTCAGACATTTTTTTTGTTACAAACTGAAACTGAACCTTTGGCAGCTGCTTAATTTATAGACTAAAATGCATCGTAAGTAGCAGTTAATTTAATTCTTATACTGTGAACAGCATTGTCTTTACTACACTTTGACTACAGTTAAATTGTTAAAAAAAGTAAGTATTAGAGAACATCGTAATATATCGTATTATTCTCCCTGTATCGTGATTCTTTGGTATGTTTAACCTTACCTTTTTGATGACCGCGACTTGTCCCAGGTAGCCAGCAGTGCCACTCTCTATCAGAGGGATGTCAGCCGCCAAACACATTCTGTTCACATGGTTTCTGGCCGCTGCAGAGACAAAATATGGTTTAAATTCTCCACAACTTTTTTTTTAACTTTGTTGAGCAAATTATTGTAGCTTTTACAGTTTGGCGGGGATACCTCTGTTATCCAGAGCATTCATCACCAGCATGAATTTTCTGAAGAACTCCACATTATAGTCTGGGCTGAAGGAACAATTAAAGAGAGACCATTAACTTTTTAAATTGAGCAGCAGGAAAACTTCAAATAAGGTTGAATCATAGGAGAAGTAAAAGAAACAGAAGAAAAACGTGACTAACTTCATGACGCTGTCATGGTATGCAGTAATATTTGCAGTGGGACAGAACTGCAAGGCACTGTCCTTGGCCACCTGCAATAATAGAAAAACAGCTCTGAATGTAGAGATACTGACATAGTGCCCTGGGGGTGTACTTACACATAAAATACAGAACGCCTGGAAGACAACTGCATAGCATTGCATAACAAAGACAAGTCTAAATGTTCACTTTCAGTTAGCTATTTACATACCTGTGCTTTAGACTTGCCAACATGCTTCTTCTGGAAGAGGAACTGACGATTCAGGTTGCTGACATCAATTGTGTCTAAGTCAATCTGTCAAAATAAATTAGGTTTCCATGTCAGTCGTGCATATGTACAGTAAATCTTTTTGGTAAATCGTAAAATGAAAAAATACTTTACTTTGTTGTTGATGTGAATACTATTTTTGTTTTGTTTTGGAAAATGAATCTAGGTTCTCTAGTAACAAAAAACTAAAAAACTTCTCTTTAAATGTGATACTGGTTATAATTACTCTATTGTAACCATCATGTATAATAACTTATTATTAATATAAAAACATTTGAGAAGGGAGCCATTTACTTGCTCTTCCTTGGTCTCCCTAAATTACTGTGCACCATTTACCTGGTGCGTATTCTAAATGAATCTTATTTAAAAAAATGATATACAGACAAGAGAAAAAGACGTAAAACTTATTTTAATTTTCTAAAATATAAGTTTAGACGGTGTGGATTTTTTAATATTAAACTGTGCAAATGAGTCCATGCTCGTAGGTTCGCTTTTTGTCGCCTACGTAGCCCTAACATTACAAAGAAGTTGAGCTAACTTAGCAATGTTAATGGCGCCAAAACATAGTTATAAATGTCCCTGAATAGAACTAAATAATAACCTGAATAAAATGAATAATACGTATGTCCACAAAAGTACGCATTGGTCTACATAAATACTCTACAAACCATTTGGACACATGTTTACTGGCACCAAAGCCACGTCTCAGGAATTAGTCTGAGCCCCAACAACCCCCGGGGCAGGGACAAAGACCTGCCATGCTAACAGGCTAACACACACATAAACATGAATGTGACGGACCACTTCGATGTTCTTGAAGCCGGTGAGGACGAGGTTTTTCAAGAGCTCGCAGCCGATCCCTCCCGCTCCAACAACCAGCACCTTGCATGTGGACAAGGAGTCCACTAACTCTTTACGGAGGGAACCCACCAGATGGACCATGACGATAGGCTAGAGATAAAACCAGAACCTGTGGCACCGGGATGCTAGTAGTTAGCAGTGAGCTTCTTCTGCTCCAGAAACCCAAACACACCTACTTCCGGCACCACGACTTCTTCTTCATGTGTTGCATTTTGATGCGTGCATTGACATTTAAGTTACCTTAGCGCCGTTTCCTGGGTCGCTGAAAATTAATTTTTTACGACGCAGGTTTGATTTTTAACCCATTTAAAGACATTTTCTAGGGTTTAAAGTGTAGTTTACGGTGTATTAATGTAATTATATATTGG